GCTGGACTATTTACAGGCCCATCACAGGGCTGTACCATGGCCACGTCCCGGCACGGTGCTCAGCCATGACACCACAATAAGTTAGAGCCGGCCGGCCGGGCGGGCAGGCAGGCGGGGCGGGGGCTGTACACACAAGTGCTGGGGGCTTGGGGCCTCAATACTGTCGAGGGCCGGGGCTGTAAACATGGCCGGGGCGGCCTGCCCACCCCTAGTGGTCTGCAGTGACTGAAAGCAGAGCAGCCTGGGCGGGGCTGGGAGGTCAAGCGTCCGACAGGCAGCTCTGGATCCGGTCCACCCACTGCTGGGCTGAGGGCACGTCCTGGGCACAGAAGTTGTAAACACGACGCGTGGTCTTCACCTAGGAAAAGGTAGGTTGCTCTGTGCATGGCCCCCATGCTGCAGGCCCTTCCCTCCCACCTCCCAAGCCTGGATGGCTCACGTCAAAGAAGGCCTTCTCATCCACAGTCTTAGGGGCACCCATGGTGGGTGTGCCTGGCCCCACAGCCTCCACTTCCGCCAAGTCAATGGTACCCTTGCACTCTGTGTCCACACGATGGTCGTAGTAACGCAGCTGGAAGAGGGACATGAGTCAGGACTGCCCTGGCACTGTCAGTCTCCACCTCCCTGCCACCAGCTGCTCACCTGGTGCTTGGTCTTGTCCAGCACGAACCAGCGGGCCTTCCAGGGCTTCATGAAGGCCCCCTTCTTATACAGGGTGCCCTCGTAGGACCTGCACTTGCAGAGCCAGGACCGGGCCACCTCAGTGCCCAGCCTGGCTAAGGCCCAGCAGTCACCCTACCTGCTATCTTCACTGGGCAGGACCAAGGCTCCTGTCCCCCAGAACTGACCTAACAAGGCTACAGCCATGAAGCAGCCCTGGGCTTCAGGCCTGCGAGTCAGGGGCATCCTCCAGGAAAGAAATGAAAGCCATAACGAGAGATAGCAAGTCCCATGACACCAGAGCCTTGGGTCCCAGGGAAGCAGCCTCACACACAGGGCAGACACTCACAGAGAGGAGGGACATGTGGCATGCAGATTTGTGGGGTGACCACAAAGTGTGGAACTACCAAGCTCACTGGTACCTGCCCTACCCGATGAGCACGCCAGGACCCCGTCACTAGCTCCACATCTCAAGTCTTTCCAGCTATGAAATGACTGCAGTGGTGGGCAGCAGCCCTTGTACCTGTTCTCACTTTCGGCTGTCTGGAATTGGCTGTACAGGGTGCTGGTGCTTCGGCGGGCAGCCTGGCGGGCAGACGTGGTGGAGCTACTGCTCTGGTCACTGTCCAGGCTGAGACTCAGGGTAGAGCCCATAGGCCCCTCCTGTAGGTACACGCCTAGCGAGCGGCGGTGGTGAGGCACACTGGACACTAGCAGGGAGCTAGGAGTGCCCTGGGGCCAGAAGAGAGGGGCCTATGTCAGCTGACTCCTGGCAACATACTCAGCCCTGGCCCCACCTGCCCTACTCACACGTCCATCTGGCCGAACTTCTAGGCGCTGAGCGGCTTTCACACGGTCCCAGGTGTCCTTCCAGCGCTCAGGAGGTCGGCCTAGCTCTGTCTCCAGACGGTGTAGCTCCTGGGGAGAATCCATGAACATTCAGAAAAGCTACTCAAAAGAAAATACCCAACTGGGTGTGGTGGTACACACCTGTAATCCCAGTGGTGGGAAGGCAGAGGCAGGAGGATTGCCGCCATCAATGAGACCCTGTCTCAATTTATAAAAAAAAAAAAAAAAGAATCTAGAATGGAGCATGAAAAGACAAAAGAAAGGAAGATGTGGGAAAAATACAATGGAGAAAAAAACCCCTAAAATGTGTAATGAATACAGAAGGCAAGAGAGAGGACAGAAAAAAGGAAAAGGAAAAAAAAAAAAAAAAAAACCCAAAAAACCAATGTTGGGGGGAGCTAAAAAACTTTGCAAACCAAGGCATCAAACAACATAACGAAGTACTACTACATACTCCAAACAGGATAGGTTAAATATATAAATACACACACACACCAGTAAGGTGTAGCTCAGTGGTAGACCCTGGGCTCAATTCCCAGTACAAAAAAAAAAAATTAAGAAAGTAAAGAAAAAAAGATGATTCCCTCAAAAAAGCAACCTAAATCTATTACATCAGATGACTTCCAAACAGAACCATGGGTGGTGGCTTCTGCTTCCAGCCAAGTCAGACAAATTAGTCTCCACCCCTCCAGAAGCAAGCAGGTATGAGGCTGGGCAAGAACAGTAAGCAAAGCTGGGTGGAAGCACACTGCTGTACGCCCGGGCTCAGAAGGCTGAGGCAGAAGGACTGCCTTGAGTTTGATGCCAGCCTGGGCTGCACAGTGAATTCAAAGCCAGCCTGAACTACATAGCAAGACCTTGTCTCAAAAGAAAAGAAAAAGAAAAACAAGCCATCAATCGTTTCCAGCTGCCGGACAACTAGTAGTGAGTGGAGCACGAAGTGAGCATACAACGGACCCAACCATCTATCTGCCCAGAGTGCAAGGGCTGAGGGAGGCAGCCTGTTGAGCTGAGGTGGCAGAGACAAGGCTCAGGGTGCTGGGGCAAGGGGAGCTGCCAGGGCTGCGAGAGTGAGTACCACGGAGAAGCCCTAGAAACCACAGAGGCTGCCACAGCCTTTGGCCACAGTAAGTCTACCGAGGCAAAGCAAGGTGTCACAGGCCTGGCAGAAAACACCCAGAGAGAAGGCCTGTGAGGTTACACAGTGCTAGATGTCCAGACTGTACCCAGAGCAGTGAGACCTCACGGAAGACAGGACTCCAGAGAGGCCCTGCCTTTGCAGGACTCCCCCGTCACTGGAGTTCAGTTGCAGCAGACTTGCCACAAGCAAAAATAAACGCAAGATTTTTTTTTTTTTTTGTCTTTTTTTTCGTTTTTATTAGTACCAGGGATCGAACTCACGACTGCCTGTTTGCAAGGCAGGCGCTTATGCCGCTGAGCTAAATCCCCAGCCCCCAATAAACGCAAGATTTTAAAAGACAGCATAATACTGGTCCTCAACAATATACTGATTCACAATGTCCAGCTTACAATAAAAGATTAGAAGAGCAACAAAGGAAGGAAAAAGAACCAGACACACTCAAAATCTGTGTTGGAACAAATACACAAGAAATTTAAGTTATTATAAGCATGTTTCAAGACTTAAAGAAAAAAATTAACAGAATGGTTGAACAGATGGGGAAATCTCATAAAACTGTTTTTAAAAAAACAGGCCAACAAAGTGTGGTGCATATGCCTGTAATCTCAGCACTCCAGAGGCTGAGGCAGGAGGATCACCGAGTTTAAGGCCAGCATAGGCCACAAAGTGAGTTGAAGGCCAGGCTGAACTGCATGGTGAAACACTGTCTCAAAAAGACCAAAAAAAAGAGACAGAGACAGAACCCAGGCTACAGATGTAGTTCAGTGGTAGAGTGTTTGCTTAGCACGTGTGAGCCCCTGGGTTTAATCCCCAGCACCACATGCAAACAGAAATAATTTTGTTAAAAACGTGAATTTTGGGACCAGGGATTTAGCTTAGTGGCATAAATGCCTGCCTGGCAAGCTCATGAATTCAATCCCCGGTACCGTAAAAAACAACAAAAAAGCAAATTTTATGCATACATATAATCTTTGCATTCTGGAAGGCTGAGACAGAAGGATCACAAGTTTGAGCCCCGCCTGGACAACTCAAGTGACTTGGTAAGACCCTTATCTCAAATTAAAAGAGCTGGAGGTATGGTTCAGTACAAGTGAGCTGGGTTCAATCACAAATAGTGGGGAAAGAGAAAAAGATTGCAGAACTGAAAAGTGCAGCATTTGGGGGGTTTTTGAGACAGGATCTCACTATATAGTTCCAGCTGGCCTTGAACTCACTACATAGTCCAGACTGCTCTCAAACATGTGGCAATCCTGCTTCACTGTTACGGCTTGGGTCTAGATGTCCTCCCCCAAGGCCTCAAGTGGTCATAGGTGGGGCTTTTTCAGAGGTGGCCAGATCTAGACTGTGTGATTCTGGGATCGATTCATGTGCAATGCTAGGGTCAAGGGTGTGAGTGCTGCCCACCTTAAGTAGTCTGAGAAAGACACAAGACACAGAAAACTACGGTCGACCCTTGTTGTTTTGCCACCTTCTGCCTTCCACGAACTGTCTCTCCTCTGCAGTGCCTGTCTGCATCATCCTGCTTTGGGGTCAGCAGATTATGAACCAAAACCTCTACAAACTGTGAACCAAATAAACCTCTCCTCCTTTAACTTTGGGTGTTGGGCATTTTGTCTCAGCAATGAGAGAAAAGTAACTAAGACACTCAGTCTACTGAGTGCTGGGATTACAGACATCCACACTATGCTCACCTGAAAACTACAGTATCTGAGTTGAAAGAACAGAGAACTTGAATATAAGGCAACAGAAATCATCCAAAATGAACTGCAAAGAAAAAAAGAGATTGAAGAGCCGGGGGGCATGGTAGTGCATGCCTGTAATCCCAGCACTCAAGAGGCTGAGACACGAGGATCACTGCAAGTTCGAAACCAGCCTGGGCTACAAAGTGTGTTCAAGGCCAGCCTGAACTACATAGGGAGACCCTCTCTCCAAAAAAAAAAAGACATAGAATTTCTATCATCTGTGAGAATAACAGTCTTAGAAGGAAAAAAGGGAAAGATTGTATAGAGAAGAAAAAAATAAACTGAGAAGCCATAGTCTAAAATATATTAAAATGATCAGTGCACAGACAGAAGGAGTTTAAGGAGCCCCAAAGCGGGATGAATGCAAAAAGAGCTGCAACCAGGAAGAAGAGACAATTTTAGAGACTAAGAAAAAAGGGGATGTTATGTAGTGGATAAGGCTATGAACAGCTGAGCATGGTGGCACATGCCTGTAATCACAGGACTCGGGGAGCTAAGGCAAAAGGATTGCTGCCAGTTTGTGGCCAGTCTGGTACACAGAGCGAGTTCAAGGCCAGTCTGCCCTACTAAAGCAAAACAAAAACAAAAACGAAAAATACAACCACATGAGCTGGGGTGTAGCTCAGTGGCACAGCACCTGCCTAGCATGCATGAGGCCCTGGGTTCAATCCCCAGCACCACATACACACATATGCATGCAAGCATGCACATGGTAGTACACATCAGTAGTCCACACTACTCAAGAGGCTGAGATGGGAGGACTGTTTGAGTCCAGGAGATTGAGCCCAGCCTGGGCAACATAGTGAGAGTTACTGGGCTGGGGATTTAGCTCAGTGGCATAAGTGCTTGCCTGACAAGCGCAAAGTCGTAAGTTGGAAGCCCTGGTTGGATCTCTGGAATTCATGAGTTGGGATCCCCAAATAAATAAATAAATAAATAAATAAATAAATAAGGAGTTGAAAGAGAGAGGCCCACCTCCTTCTGAACACTCAGCCCATGTAAAAAACACCTGTGGTGGGGCCAGGATATACCTCCAAGGTGCAGCACCTGCTTGGCAAGTACAAGGTCCTGAGTTTGATTCCTGGTACTCACAAAGTAAATAAATAAATACCTTTATATATAATCACCATATATAAAATAAAAAAATACACGCACACACACAAACCACCTGTGGTGACAGCGCCCCAGTTCCTGCACTGGTTCAGCCATTATCTCCAACTGTCACCCAACCCTGGATGGCTCTCTGCCATCCTGTGGAAACCTGGTTCCTGAGGCTAAGCATGATGGCAGAGTGAAGGCCAACAAAGACCACAAGCTTCTCTCTTACAAGAGCTGCTGTTCACTTCAGAATACACAGGACACAGCCTCACAGAGATAAGCAATGGTTCCTGGGGAAACCCTGTCTTCCCTGCAGGCTGAGTCCACAGCAACCGCTAGAGCCTGCGAGGCCAGGTGCCGTGGGGTGTGGTTTTTCTCCTGAAAGTCCATGGTACTCCCGGTTTGGGAGGGTGCTCCAGGAGGGAATAAGGCACTTCTCAGGGGACCTTGAGTGAGTACTGAGAGGACAGAGCCTTGGTGCCACATCCACTCCTGCCACTGCCCTGTGCCATGATGTGATGCAGCCAAGAGAGGCCTCACCAAACACTGGGCTGATGCAGGTGCTGTGCCTTGGACTTCCCAGGTGGAGCAGCATGCATCTCTCTGCAGTAGTTAGCCTGTCCTTGCTATTTCATACAGTGACAAAAACTAACACAACTGTCAGAAGCACACATGCCCAGAGCAGAGCCATGTCCTAAGACCTGGGACTGGTGATGACAGCCTTCCTTCTGGGACTGTCTGCAACTCCACCTGGCATGGGGCATGGACCCAGGGGAGCCACAGCCACCCTAGCCTGCAAGTAACCAGACCAACAGCCCACAAGGCACCACTAGCATTTCGGCAAGGGGAAGGAGATGCCAGGCCAGGCCCTGCCCTGAGTAACGCGCACCTCTAGCAGGCGTGATATGGCATCGGGCTGCACTCGAGGGCGGCTGTCGTAGCATGGCCACACCACACGACGCCGGCTCTGCGGAGCACTCCCATCAGGCCGTTCGTCCTCTGAAGGCTCTGGAGGGCCCTGGGCCAGTTCCCAGTCATAGGGGGGCCCCTCAGCCAGCGTCTCCTCCGTGTAGAAATCCCACACCTTCAGGTTGGACACGTTGCTATAGGGCCGCAAGACCTAGGGGCAAGCCCAGTGTTACGAGGCCAGGCTGGACAGAAGCTGCCAGCCCACCAGGCCCCAGCTTACCTCTGCATCCTCAGGCGCATACATGTAATTGTAGAACACAGGAGTCCTCTTGCTCAGCCTGTCCACATACTCCCACACAGACCTGCATGCCAGCTGGCCCCTGCGCTCGCCCTTCTCCTCATACAACAGCCCTGCACAGAGGCAGCACTGAGCCTGAGCCGCTCCCACCACACATCCACCCGAGGCCCCCAAACCTACATACCCAGCTCAATGCGCTCATAGTCAGAGTCAAGCAGGAAGGTGCGGAAACGGCGGGATGCATGGTGGTAACCAAGAAACTTGAGGTAGAACTGGCTGAACTCAAACTCCATAGGGAACTGCAAGTGGACCTAAAGGCAGCAGGAGTCCAGAGGTCAGATCGGGGAGCATAGTCCAGGTCTGCCCACATGGCCATCTGCCCACCTGGTACACGCAGTCCAGGAACTGCAAGAAGACAGGCGTGAATCCACTGCTCTGTCCGGCCAGGGTATGGGCCCCACGGTAGCTGAAGCGATGCCCAAACGACAACCACTCCTTCTCTACCAGCAGGCGGAAGCCTTCCAGTGTGCGATAGAAGGGATCCGAGAGCAGCTGCACCAAGGATACCACCTGCAGCACCACCACTGGTCAGGATGGCACCCGAGGACCCTGCCCCACCCCATCTCTGCACCTGCCACGCACCTGAGTGGTGATGTCCCAGCCATCCTCCAGGCTCACTAGGACAGAGGAGCCCGCATCCAGGAGCCCCACTACCAGCACTGAGATCTCCAGCAGCTTGTGGATCTGAAGGACAGGCAGCCCTTGGACCCCATTCTGATTCAGCCTGACCCACACGATGCTGGCAGTGTCCACAGCACAGGGTCAACACGGCACTGGAGAGACACTTGCTGCCCATCATAGCCCACCCTCTCTGGGCCCCAGGACAAGGAAGTAGACTCAGATGTCCTCGAGAGTCATGGCAGCCCCAGCCCCAGCCCTCTGAAGCATACCACACACCAGTGAGGCGGTGTCAGCCCCTTACTCCATGAAAAGAGGCAACACGTCTGGAAGCCTCGTTTTGCATGTGACCAACCACTGCCTCCTGAGCCCCAGCTCACTGACCCATCCATCTTCCGCAACTACCACCCTTAGCTGCTTCCCAGGGACTGGGACCCATGGGGGAAGTGGCTGTCAGATCTTCGTGGTCCCCAGACTGTCAAATAAAGCCTTCCCCCAGCTTTAGCCTACCACCCAGGCAAGCAGTGGGGCAGGGGCCGGGCAGAAACCTGGATCAGCCACTCCGAATCCTCCAGTGAGCGCAGGAAGGAGGCCGGGCCAGGCTCAGTGGCGGGACAACCTGGCACACAGGCCTTCAGCAGCTTCTTGAAGCTGGCCTTCACCTGCCGGGCCTCAAACACCTCGATAGGCACCAGCTCCCACTGCTGCAGGGGATCCTGCCGCACACCCTAGAAGCCAGCCAGGCACTGTGAGCCATGCCAGTTAAACAGCCCCCACCTGGCCCCGGCCCTCTACCTTAGTCACCTTGAGCTGTGCTTTGTCCCCGATAATGTAGAGGGCTGCACGCTGGGGCCGCAGGAAGCCTGGGTCAGGAGGGGCCCCATTGGCCTGTGGGGGGCTCAACCCATCTCTGTTGGCTAGTCGGGAGCCTACATCAGTGCTGAGCCCACTGCTGCGTCCACTGGCCCGAACACTGCCCCACTTACCTGTAGAGGAGAGACCAGGTGAACTGCGGAGCAGGGCCAAGGCACCACTTACCTCAGGCTGGCCAGCCCAGCTTCCGGGGAGAGGGTTGAGCTCTGGGGCAGGGTGGGGTGGTTGACAGGCCCCAGCAGGACTGTGTAAGGGAGAAGGGCTGGACCACACCGGTGCTGAGATACGCCGGGGCGGCCCTATTAGTATCTGGGGCAGGACTGGGATGTCAGGCAGGTAAGTAACCGGCTAGAGAAAGAATCAGTTATGTTGGTCTGTCATAGGGGGGCCGTTAGTGTCAGGTGTGCAGGGAGACATTAGTGACCAAGACAACTCAGTTCACGCTGGGGGCCATCAGCGCCAGGTGAGAGAGGAGCCCCTGGTACGGTACCTCGGGGCGCAGTCCGTCTGGAGGCCGAGGCCGCCATGGGGTTGGACAGCGTGGTGACCCTGGCTCTGGGGCTGGGCACTGGGGGCACAGCAGAAAGAAGTCTCAGGCCTGGCCCCAGGCCCGTGGGAACCTACAGGCCAGGGGTTCCCACCAAGACCCCTCACTTAACCCCTGGAGCCAAGAAAAGTCAGGGCAAGCCTCTAATCTTGGGAGATGAAGAGCCTTATCTGGTCTAGACGAGGATCATCCTGCCCCAGTGGCCAGGCTACAGGGCTCCATGCATTAGGAGACTGGGGGTTCCGAGACTGGGCTCTCCTCCCAGTGCCCCCTCTCTTCCCACACACAACAGCTCTGAGCAACCTTGTCTTCAAGTCCCTCCCTGAGGGACCTGTCCTTCCCAGACTCTTCCCCCTTGGCTCAGGGAAGTCCCATCATGCAGGCACCACTCAGAAGTACTCTCAACAGGGCCTACACCAAGCTGCACAGGACACAGCAACAGGGGGCACCTGAGAGGCAGAGGCCAGAAAAGGAGGCTTAGAAGCTTCCTGAAGAGGGAGGAAGACCAGACCAGAAGGATGGTGTAGTTCAGTCCAGGATGGACAGACTTACAGGGGTCACGTTGGGCACACTTACAGGCGGGGGTGACGCAGCCTGGAGGCCTGGCCACGAGGCCTGAGCACGGAGGCAGCTGGGTCACAGCGGAAGTCTTGGTACCAGCCCACCTCAGGCTTACCTATGCAGAGGCCTTGCGCAGGACAGAGAGGGGTGCAAGGCAATGTCCCTATTCACTGTGGCAGTCATCACAGGCCAAGTACAAGAAAAGCCTGCCACACACCACTGAGACAGCTCTCAAGGACAGTTGCGGAGGCAGTACCAGAAGTAGGCAGTAGTCAGGGACACTCAGGACATGGCTACCTACTGGCACCAGTCAGGATTTTGGCAGCAGAGAGAGTGCTTACACAACACACTCAATAGTACAGAAAGTAGGTATTCCCAAAGGAAAAGTATGGCAGGGCCAGAGTTAACTGTCACTGATGACCACGAGGGCTTACTGCCCTGGTCCTCGCCCCAGGGCCCAGAAAATGGTGACAAGGACCCAGGTGCTATGAGGAACACTGCTGAGCACAGATGAGACCACGTGCTCAACAGGAAGCAAGGAGTCCCAGGCAGAGGGGACAGCAGATGGTGCAGACAAGGACTGTAGATCTTTGTGGTCAGCCAGGGTGGACACAGCAGACAGATTCAGTGGCACCCTGGCTGCAGGATGGCTCTGCTATGGGAGATGCTACTAGCACCTGTGCACCCCACTCTGTTCCCAGAGGAAAACACACCCCATG